CTGATGTTAATTGTATAATGAAGGGGTGTGGCTATTAGACTCTGGTGTTAATTATGCATCAATCAAGCATGGTTATTCAAGTATGATGTTAGTTGTGTAATGAAGGGGTGTGGCTAATAAAGTGGTGTTAATTATGCATTGATGGGGTTTGGTTATTCGAGTCTGATGTTAATTGTATAATGAAGGGGTGTGGCTATTAGACTCTGGTGTTAATTATGCATCAATCAAGCATGGTTATTCAAGTATGATGTTAGTTGTGTAATGAAGGGGTGTGGCTAATAAAGTGGTGTTAATTATGCATTGATGGGGTTTGGTTATTCGAGTCTGATGTTAATTGTATAATGAAGGGGTGTGGCTATTAGACTCTGGTGTTAATTATGCATCAATCAAGCATGGTTATTCAAGTATGATGTTAGTTGTGTAATGAAGGGGTGTGGCTAATAAAGTGGTGTTAGTTATGCATTGATGGGGTTTGGTTATTCGAGTCTGATGTTAATTGTACAATGAAGGGGTGTGGCTATTAGACTCTGGTGTTAATTATGCATCAATCAAGCATGGTTATTCAAGTATGATGTTAGTTGTGTATTGAAGGGGTGTGGCTAATAAAGTGGTGTTAATTATGCATTGATGGGGTTTGGTTATTCGAGTCTGATGTTAATTGTATAATGAAGGGGTGTGGCTATTAGACTCTGGTGTTAATTATGCATCAATCAAGCATGGTTATTCAAGTATGATGTTAGTTGTGTAATGAAGGGGTGTGGCTAATAAAGTGGTGTTAGTTATGCATTGATGGGGTTTGGTTATTCGAGTCTGATGTTAATTGTACAATGAAGGGGTGTGGCTATTAGACTCTGGTGTTAATTATGCATCAATCAAGCATGGTTATTCAAGTATGATGTTAGTTGTGTATTGAAGGGGTGTGGCTAATAAAGTGGTGTTAATTATGCATTGATGGGGTTTGGTTATTCGAGTCTGATGTTAATTGTATAATGAAGGGGTGTGGCTATTAGACTCTGGTGTTAATTATGCATCAATCAAGCATGGTTATTCAAGTATGATGTTAGTTGTGTAATGAAGGGGTGTGGCTAATAAAGTGGTGTTAGTTATGCATTGATGGGGTTTGGTTATTCGAGTCTGATGTTAATTGTATAATGAAGGGGTGTGGCTATTAGACTCTGGTGTTAATTATGCATCAATCAAGCATGGTTATTCAAGTATGATGTTAGTTGTGTAATGAAGGGGTGTGGCTAATAAAGTGGTGTTAATTATGCATTGATGGGGTTTGGTTATTCGAGTCTGATGTTAATTGTATAATGAAGGGGTGTGGCTATTAGACTCTGGTGTTAATTATGCATCAATCAAGCATGGTTATTCAAGTATGATGTTAGTTGTGTAATGAAGGGGTGTGGCTAATAAAGTGGTTTTAGTTATGCATTGATGGGGTTTGGTTATTCGAGTCTGATGTTAATTGTATAATGAAGGGGTGTGGCTATTAGACTCTGGTGTTAATTATTCATCAATGGGGCATGGTTATTCAAGTATGATATTAATTGTGTAATGAAGGGGTGTGGCCAATAGACTAGGTTTAATCATGCATCGATGGGGTTTGGTTATTCGAGTCTGATGTTAATTGTGTAATGAAGGGGTGTGCCTATTAGATTCTGGTGTTAATTATGCATCAATGTGGTGTTTTTATCAGACTGGTGTCAGTTGTGTAATGAAAGGGTGTGGATAATTGACTCTGGTGTTAATTATGCATCAATGGGGCATGGTTAACCAAGTATGATGTTGACTGGAAGGAAGGGGTGTGGCTATTAGACTGCTGTTAATTTTGCATTGATGAGGTGTGTTGATGTTTATTGTGTAATGAAGGGGTGTGCCTATTAGACTCTGGTGTTAATTATGCATTGGTGGGGCGTGGTTATTCGAGTCTGATGTTAATTATTTAATGAAGGGGTGTGGCTATATATGCTGATGTAAATTGTGTAATGAAGGGGTGTGGCTACTAGACTTCTGGTGTTAATTATGCATTGATGGGTTTTGGTTATTGGACTCTGATGTTAATTGTGTGATGAAGGGGTGTGGCTATTAGACTCTGGTGTTAATTATGCAGTTATGGGGTGTGGTTTTGGACTCTGGTGTTAATTAAGCATTATTTGGGTGTGGTTATTCCAGGCTGATGTTAATTGTGTAAATAAGGGGTGTGGCTAATAGACTCTGGTGTTAAACATGAATCAATGGGGTGTGGTTATTGGACTCTGATGTTAATTGTGTAATAAAGGGGTGTGGCTTTTAGACTCTGGTGTTAATTATGCATCGATGGGATGTAGTTATTGGAGTCTGATGTTAATTATGCATTGATGAGGTGTGGCTATTAAATTATTTGGTTAATCATGCATTGATGGAGTGTGGCTATTAAGCTGCGGTCACACTAGAGTTTTTGTGTGCGAAATTCTGTCGTACAGCTCTGCGAAAAGGGGCGGGATTAAACAAGATTATTAGACTTTTAAAAAAGTGAGCGATTGCTCCATGTTTTAATTTTTTGTCCAAAGAGGTCATGCTTTGATCCTCGATTGGTCTCACACAGTCAAGTGATGCGATATTTCGCAACTTAACGCATGACCCTGCGTTTCCGGTCTGACGCATTCGCATGGGTATGAATGGAAGTCTATGGGGAGAAAAGTCAAGTGTGACCGCAGCTTGAGACTGGTGTTAATTATGCATTGATGAGGTGGGGTTATTGGAGTATGGTGTTAATTATGCATCAATTGGGTGTGGTTATTCTACTCTGATGTTAATTGTGTATTGAAAGGGTGTTGCTATTAGACTCTAGTGGTAATAATGCATCAGTGGGGTGTGGTTATTCAACTCTGATGATAATTGTGACTACAACGTTCAATCGTACAGAGTCTATGTACAACAACATAGTCTACAGTGTTGAATTGACAAAGTATTCTTAATATAATATAATTCATGCACTAGACAGCTGAGCACATAATGGACAGGATAATGAAGCAATTGTGAATATGATGGATAGGATAATCGTGCACCATTTAAGAATAAAATGATGTTAGATTTAGTTGTGTACTTCATCCCAGAGAATGAAAATAGAAAATGTGTGCTTTATTGCAACACCCTCGACTTGCTGACTGACATGCCTATTCACTGACTCATTATGGTAAAGTCTACATTTTTTTTAAATTTTGCACAACATAAATCACATTTAGCACAAAAAGAAGCGACTATGATAGTGTCACTTAAAATTGCCTCTTCTTCTCTTCTCAATCTTTCACCTTGC